TTTCACAGGCCCATACGTGGGAATCACTCACACCCGGGCGCTAGTTTTGAGTTCATTAATACCTACGTGAATGGGAAACATTCCCTTAAAATTACAGTCTTCTTACTTTTCAGGTTCCCGACTTAACTATTTAAACGAGAAAAAACTTTCACGGGCCCACACATGAATACACTGCATACCCGAGGGCTAGATTTGAACTCATTATGACCTATTTGGACGGGAAACATTCACTTAAAATTCCAGCCTTCTAGCTCCTCCGGCTCCCGAGTTATCAGCTTACCCGAAAAAAACTTACACGGCCCGTACGTGGGTAAAACGCATACTCAGGGATGGATTTGAGCTCATTAATACCACTTGGATAGGGACCATCCCCTTACAATTCCAGTCCTCTAGCTTTTCAGGTCCTCCAGTTAGCTGCTACGACGGCGACGTTACGATGACATTACGACGAATGTTTCGCAGATTATTCGGACGAGGTACGACGAGCTTCGGACGAGACTTGGATGAACGCCAATGTGCTGCATATGCTTAGTGGAGAGGCTAAAGTAAACATAAATGAATTTTATCAACACTAATAAAAGTTCACAGTTGAGTAATTGGGGCGACGAGGTCAAGCCGAACGATTACAGCGACAACCGCTACAGACGGAACGCTGATCACTGGAGCGCAGCAACACACAGCTGCAACTGAACATTGGAAGCCGAATACTGAATAGTGAATACTGGACACTGAACACGGAACACTGAACTTTACAACACTGCAGGCTTATGTGTTCATCGCAAAGGGCAGGACAGATCACAGGTCAATCTGCTGCGCGATTCTGGATTGCTCTTTGCTTCTCCTGCGCGCCATCTTTTGCTCTCTGTACACAGCAACTACCCGATATAAACTTTGACGGGACTGTACACGGGTACCATGCATACCCGGTGTTTGGATTTGAACTCTCTGAGACTTATGTGGACAAGAAAAATTCCTTAAGATTTCAGCCTTCAAATTTTTCGGTTTCTCGAGTTAGCAACTTACCCGAAAAAAACTTTGACGGGCCCGTGCGTGGACATCACGCATTTCCGGAGTCTGGGTTTGGTCTCAATGAAACTTAGGTGGACGGGAATATCTTCTTAAAATTACACTCCTCCAGCTTTTCAAAATCTCGAGTTGGGCAGTTACCCGAAAAAAATTTGTTGGGCAAAGCGGGAAATCCGATGGCGCGCAGTTTTGGCGAGCAGTTTCGGGAAGGTCGTCTGGCTTGGCGATCTGCCGTTTCCTAGTGGTCACTGTTGATTTTTACGCGCTAAAATCATGCATGTGAACGTGTGTGATTAGTATCAGAGATTTCGTTCTTTCTGTTGTCCTGTTGCATCGATGTGACAACAAAGTTTCCGTCACGACAGCGGCGTCTCAGAGCAGTTCAACCGAGAAGAGGCAGTAGCAGGGACGTGCAAGTGGGCCGCAAGAAATCCCCTCAGGGCGCAATTCGCCACAGCTACGCGAGGCGCGCCCAACATGGGGCTGAGCTAGTCGAGTGCTGAGAAGGTCCAGAACGCGCTCGGGAGGGGGAAAAGCGAAGAGGTTACCTCGAAGGATGTCGAAGATGCCAGATCAGTAGAGACCGAAAACGATTAACGACTGGATGATATGCGGGAGGAGGAAATCCCCCGAGAAGCTTACGACAAAGTGACAAAAAAGTTAGACTGGTGCCAAGAAGGAAGCATTGAGTTCTTGGGTTGCATGTTGAAAGATATCAGGCTAGCCTTGGTGCTTAATGTAACGGAAACGAAACTCGAGGCTGAAAAGATTAGCCAAGCTTTTACGGTCTGGGAAGAAAATCGGTTGGAATGGGAAACGAACAACCGTATGTATGGCCGCCGAGGTACAAACGACACTAATCTTTTTCGCTAAGCGAAAGAACGGGTGCAAAGATGTACAAAGGGGCAACAAAATTTAATAACATAGCCCTAGCATTTGATGCTCGATTTCCTCGTCAGCTGGGCGAATCACTACATACGGCTATGGAGGCCGAAACAGTTTTGAATAAACGGCAGGAAAAGTATATCAAGCTTGATTCGTGAACTAAATGAGACGAAGCCGAAGGCGAAAAGCAGAGCTGAGACGGGAGTTTAAAGATCAGGTGAACCAGCTTACGCGGCGGTGGGTCCACAGCAGGCCAAAAAAGAACACCTTTCTGCGAGCACAGATTTTCCATAAATTTTGAAAGGTGTTTCAGAGCAAATACGATGGGGCGTTGCCTCATGGATATGAATGAATCGTTGCAGGTCCGCAATGGAACATCTCCGCAGGGGAACTGGAGAGAAGCTCTAGAATGGAGGAGTTATGACGACGGCGACTCCCGTAAGTGTTTAAATCCTCCGGATCAAATAGAGGCATTTCTTGAGAATGCCGGTGGTGGGAGACCGTTAGTAGAGTTGGCGCGCATGGCCATTCAGTGTACTAAACGCATGCAAACGCAGTTGCCACCACCTGAAATTGGTGGCAACTGCGTCTTCCAAGACTTTATGGAAGAATTTCAGCTGGGGTTTGATGGTGAAACAGACAGAACGAAGATATTTGTAAGCTTTTTTGTCAGGTTCTGTTCGAGATGCTTTTCTGGGAATAACCGGCTTCATCCGGAAAACAGGTACTTTTTCCGAGGTGGTAAATGCTCTTCGAGAGGCGCTGATAGATAATTCAAACATTAGTAGGATGGGTCTCCAAAACGATCTTGAGTATATAGAATGGCGAAGAGAAGAAGGATTATGCGGATTTTTCGCGTACTTGGATAGAAAAGAGGTGGGCGCATATCCTGTCACCTTGTGTTCTGATCAAAATTTCATCGTGGAATGAAAGTGCGGTACTGCAATCAAAGCTCTGAGCAAAGACAATGAGTTAGGAGCTAGAGTGCTAGCAGTGGTCTCAAAGCGCCAATTAATAGGATGTATTAGGCTCTGAAGGAAGAAGCGCTAGACTATGAGCGTGTCCAAGAGAAATTGAAAAGAAATTCGCGTTATGTTCAGGATAATAATGCAAAAGGTAGAAGGGCGCAACCTCTGCTCAGGGTTGCTACGCTGCTACGAAAAGCAAGGCGCCTTTGAGAAGCGAATTTAATTCTTCGAGCATCGAAAAACGATGGCGATTAAGTAAGGATGCAAGGAAGGATTGACCGGAACGAGGAAGGAAAGACGTAAGAAGGGTTCAGAAGCAGAATAAGGACGGCTTGAAGAGATACTTTGTATGCAAGAGTCTTGGTCATATGGCCAGGGTATGCCCTACTTGAGGTTATCGTGGAATGCGAGGACAGTGAACTGAAGCAACCAAATGAGGTTGTAGTGGAAATATTTAAGTTAGACAAGGATAACACTCCTGATCCAGACAATTGTTGATACTGGGGCAATGATATCGGTGGTATTTCTAAAAACATTGATGCGCTTGGGAGGAAATAATCCGAGTATGTGGTATAAGTACATGCGAGGCAGTAATGAGAATATCAGAGACTCTTCCCTCAACTCTATCAGAATACTAGAGAAGATAAGCTTACTGGTAAGCCGGGCTGGAGAGGAACGGCCGGTACCGTTTTCATTCAGGTGCCGGTGAAATATGAGGAGGAGGATTTGTTAGGGACAAACGCACTAGCTGCTTCAGACCGGTGGCGTAAGGAGATGCTGAAAGTGTTGGAAGGCAACAGTGTGGAGTCACTGATATGAGTGAAACAAGTGCTGATTCCACCGCGAAGCAAAATATGGATTGAAGACAGAGTAAAAGAGAATGGTTTGAGCTGGAGTCTTTTATCACCGAAACAAGAAGGAGTGCAGGAACGACTCGTAACGATGGATAAACAGAAAATTTGGATGGAGTTGAAGATGACAGCGACTTTAGTCGAACTGTAAAGAAAGAAGAGGAGCTGGGAGAGTTGAATAAGGTGGAAGTAGTTAGGGCCAAAGTTAAAAATACAGTGGAAAGCGAAGAATCATTGCAACCGGTGAGCAGCACTGAAGAACTGACAGATAAAATGGAAAAACTGTATGATCTCTTAAGAGTCAAATCGCTCGGGACGACAGAGGAGAAAAAAGTCAGAACCAGTAGACTTATAGAAAATTATTTTGAAGTTGGGCGGCAGATGACACCGATCTGACGCAGGCGGATTTGGCAGCACACGAAATTCATATGGGGAATGCTGAACTAGTAAGACAGGCGCAGAGACCCATTCCGCTAGCACTGAGGACGCAAGTATTAGCTATGTTGCAAGAATACTTAGAGAAGTAATACGTGAGAGCAACAGTCCGTGAAGTAGTCCCGCGCTATTCGTGCGGAAGA